GTGTGTGTGTGTGTGTGTGTGTGTGTGTGTGTGTGTGTGTGTGTGTGTGTGTGTGTGTGTGTGTGTGTGTGTGTGTGTGTGTGTGTGTGGTGGTGGTGGTGGTGGTGGTGGTGGTGGTGGGATGCCCATCCAGGTAGGAAGGGAGAAATGGTTGGGAGAGTGGTTTCCCCCAACAGCGCCATATGGACATCGCACCCACCCTCCCCTTTTCACGACACAGCTCCACCTTTCACATCATCCTTTTTTTCCCTGGTCTCTAATTTTGCTTGCCAAAATGTGGCTCTGAAGTGTTATGTGGGCGCATTGTCACTTTCCTTTCCGTGAAAGTGAAGGGGTGGATTGTGGTGGGGGGGGGAGGGATGAACATTAAGTGCGGCTCCTACTTCTCCCACTCTGCCTCCTCCACTGTTTACTCCTTCAACTTCCGTGTAATTAGAAGACAGGTGCGCGTTTTGTGGTGCCACTTCACCTCCCTCAAATGACACTCACTATCACGTTGGCCTTTCTTCCATACCACTCCACCCCACACCACCTTGGCTCCAACGTCATATTTTCACAACGCAACCATCCACTCTTTAGGGCGGGTTAAAGTGTCACTTTAACCGTCATAGCGCTTTGGATAAGAGGCTTTAACAGACGGTAGAATGGTAGGCCGGTTTCACTGAATGGCTGCCTAGGAAAGGCAACTGACACACAAAATGGACTGACTGTTGAACACCCCCAGCCCTAATCCCCTAAATACGACAGGGAAGTAAAAGTCTTCTTTTTCCTAATCCTGTGATGACTTATTCTGAAGGGCAGCACACCAAACAGAGCTAGTTACTTACAAAACCGTGTTTGTCAGAGATGTTGTTGGTGAGCTTGAGTTTGTGGAAGGAGATGATCTTTTGCATCCACTGTTCCCCAGTAGCCGGAGAATCGGGATGAATGTACATGCGTTTGGGCATCTCGGGATCTGCCTTGCCTGCCACCATCCACTGATTATTGTGAAATTTGTACCGACAGTCATCTGCGGCAACAACCTCCAACATCATGACGTACTTGGTTTGTTTTTCCAATCCCGACACCTTGACTTTAAACGGTGGAAACATTCGGCTGAAAGGAGAACAAAAAAATTGCCCCATTTAATTTGAATTAATGCTAATTTTAGTTACTTAAGTGCTTATCTGTGTGTTAATTCTTCCGCTTAATGGCCTCTCTTGAGTCAGTCGGTAACAGCTACTCCTTCCTCAGTGATCATGCCTAATTTAACAAATTAGAGTGGAAAGCTGAATTGGCAGGATTATAGGTACACAATAAGCCTGATGACATGTGACGGGCTATCACTATTCACTCGTGGATCTTATCCATTCCTGCTTGGAAACATCAAATCTCATTTGGTTTACAAATTCTTCACGAAGAATCGTTTGTGTTGTAAGGCGTGGTGTGGCATTCAAGCAGGTTTATGTGAGACAAATTTCTCATTTCAATCTCCAAAGTCGGCCTCCCAGATCGTCATTAACATAATCACATAAGTTGGCATCATTCAGAGATTCTGTTGCTGATCTACTAGGCTCGAGGTATTCGGCTTGAAGGTTCATGAGCATACATGCACTGGCATTGACAGTTTCCACTTTGCCTTGATAAAGGGTGGCTGGAGTGAACTAGCTCCTTTAAGACAGGACCCGATTTGGCTCTCAGTAGAAAATAAAACCAAAATTCACGATTTTGAGTTAAACACTTCACCTTCTTGGTAGAAGCATAAACCTGCAGATGTCGAAAACAAATTTACCTCCTTCCACATCCCTTGATAGCATGTTTGACTAAATTATGAGTAAACCTAGTCCCTTCAAGCATAGTAATGCGTTGTAGGTGTGCTATCAAGATGGCACGATCACAAGTTGTTCCAGGAGGAAAGGGAAAGTGGAGGTGAGGATACGCTGATACATCAGTGTCGTAATCCAAGCAAAAAATTGGATGTTCAAGTAGGCGGAAAACGTGCGCAACCTAATCGACACGTCTCACTCTCTTTCTCTCCCTCTAACGCGTAAAATTTCTTCACATAGAAAAAGAGCAAAAATGCAAGAAACTCTGCTCCATCGGATAGCAGAAGAAAAAATTTCCCAGATACTTCCTCAAATCGATTGCAGTGGGGATAGCATGTTTCCCACTCCCTTCTCACCTAGAATATCGCCCACTTTTACGTAGTGCGACCTAATTTTTAAATTTTACCCAGTTAAATTTAATGCGACAACGGAGATGAGGAATTTTAAAGTAGTGAAAACTGTAGTAATTTGTATCAAGTGCATTTGTGATTGTTACTTGCTACCATTAATGAAGAATTTGATATCATGCCTAAAATATTCAACAATCTTGAATGCTAGGTTGCCAATGCAATATTTTAGTAAAAAAAAATTGATAATTTTTTAGAGATGGCCTTCCTGATGGCCCATATATGCTGCCATTAGATGATTAAAAACAGTTTAGGCGATTGTTTTTGGCATAACCCGAGGGTCGGTCTACTCTCCTTCCCTTTCCGCCCCAGCCCTCTCACCTCCTCCCTACCACCCGACGTCATTTTAAATCGGTTTATGATGTTGTGTGATGTGGTTTCAGATTCCAACGCTAGAACAGAAGCTACCTTCTGCTTAGCTATGTTGTACGGTCATAGACATGGTGCCGAATGTGGTTTGTGGCATGTGGTGTATGCGGCATGCAGCATGTCTTGTAAAAGCTCACTGCTCCCCTTCCACCCTCACTTCTCCATCCTTCCCATCACCTCAAGTCTGTGATGTGGTTCAAGCACATCCGCTTGAGGAACTCAACCAAGGTGAACCCACCTCCATAGTCCAGATACTAAACATAAACCTCCAACTCCTCCACTCTGTTGTACGGTCTTGTAGAAGGTGAGGAATGTGGTTTTCGGTGTGTGGTGTATGCGGTATGCAGCATGTGGTGCAAAAGCTCACTTCTCACTCCTGCTTGACATATGCGGTCCTCCTGATGATTCACTGACACCTAGATGCGTCATATTGGGCACAGTTGTCTACTTCGAAAGATTACTAAGAATTACGTGTAGGTGTCACTGTTGATGCAAGCAACCAAGACACCAATGTGTCATAAGCAACTCTCAGTTAGTCAAGTGATGATACATGTGGTTCACAACACCGACAACATCTGTGATGGGAAAGTAATGGTGAAGGTTGTCAGGGGAATCGATCCGATCCCCTGTACACACCATGCAACAACAAATTATAGATAACGGATGATAGATGGCTGATAAGGGAAGATGGGGAACAGGTGATAGCTGATCAATGGATGATCCCCACCTCCACCATGGTCCAGGCTCTTTGGATTGCAAGGTGATCGACTAACCGACCAACCAACCAAAAGACTGCGTTTAAATGCGATGAAAGGGACGTCTCTATTGCATTGCAATGCTCGTTAAGTGCAGGTACGCGACCTTGGTTACTACCACACGTTTCACTCATTTCTCACTCCTCAACTCGTTTTCCACTTCACACTTCTAAGGCACTCACCACATCATCCTCACATCCTGAGATTGTGCTCGCCTTCTGTGTGGTGAGCTGCAGGTACAATTGCAGCATGTTTAATTCACTTTCAATCGTTCACACATTGAAGAGCAAACAAGTTCTGCCGACATCTATGCCTCCTCGACCCTCCTCCCCTGATGGTACTTCCCGCATTGATGGATGCCTTCGCACGACCACATAACCACATGTTAGCAACAACTCATGATCAAATACGAAGTAGAATAGGCAACTAAGAATTGCCGACAGATGTCACTAGAAGTGGCCTTGGTGTAGGTGATATGAAGCTAGAGGTTTATTTCCTTGTTTTTGTAGACAAGGTCTTTCATAACTTTGGAGATCCCAGCACCTCTACGTCTCGTTGAGATGTACCAGCAGTTCACTGGTTATCATTAACGCCATTTTATTTCCTTTAATTACAACGGGTATGAAGCAAATCGCTCAATTAAGTATACATTTTAATATCTTAATTACAGTCCTTTAAAAATATGATACCATCACGTTTTATAGGCATGAATCATGGCCCAAACTCAAAGGAATGAGCAATTCAATTTTTGCATGATAAAATCCACTGATAGTTGAGAATGATACTTCAACAAAAGGGGAGGCGTGATTTACACCACAGCAAGGTCACTATCTGCGGGCCTTTAATGTCGTCTTGGATGCGGAATAGGAAGGGGGTCACTTCAAGTGAAGACCACTCACTCTATTTTTAGACCAATCAGAGAGGGAGTGGTGGCGGATGGAGGAAGTGGATGAAAGAGGGGAAAGCC